ACGTGAAATATATTTACCATTTTTAATGTTTTTTTGTGTTGAATTTAAAGAATGAAGTATTTTGCTCCTTAAACAGATTTAAGATTTGAATTTTAATAGCTTATATTCACTGTGATTTACGTAGCATAGATTTTCTTCGAATTTGGTCCAATAACAGCATATTCTTCCAGGCTCACAGAACTATTTAAAAAGAATTGTTTTAAAAACATTCATTTGCAATATGTTTCATACGAGTCACTGTTAAAAGAAGCACGAGGACTTAGCGTAATACATTTTTTTCTTTGCCAGATTAAAAAAGTTTTTTCTCAGAGGCAATGCTTTTGCTTTAAATGTTGGCAGTTGCATATTAAATGCACTGCCGCTGTCCCATATTAAATGCAAGGACAAAAGTGCAGTCAACTTGCTGACGAAAAGCATATAGACAATATTTTATCGTTTCCACAAATGTAATTGTTCGTAATTATTGTATTTTTTAAATGTGTGAGGACTAGTTGAAATTTTCCTAATTTTGTTGTTTTTTATATGTACGAATGGCCAAGAACTACGGAGAAGTACCTATTCCTAACATGTAAAAGAATCACTTTAAATGTTCTCTCGCAAGCGTCTTTGAGTTTAAAGACTGTAAAATTCAAGAATTTTAATAAAATTAATAAATTACTCTTATGCATTCAATTCTGTTACCAAAATTTCTTTAACATTTACTAAGTTGTGTATTGTTATTACAGTAAGCAAATAATTTTATTGTACTTAACCTGCAATAGAAAAAATTAAATTATAAAACATAATATGCAACAGATAGTATCTAATAGATAATATTTAATGCGTATCATATCTGTTGCCCTCCTTTGTTATCAAATCCTGTCAGGGAAAAAAAATGAAAGCTTTCTAATTTTATATTACGCTATTACGCACTAAAAGGCAGTTTTTCATTTTATTTACACCTGATAGACAGGCTCGCGACCTGGCGGTAAAAATGTTTCTTTCCGTACAGTGTTTGTCTCGCTTTGAAAACCTTGAGTTTGCTAATCAAAACTTTAACGAAGTTTTACAGAATACGAAATAGGTTTACAGAATTTAAGTTTTACAGAATACGAAATAGGGGATAAAAAAATTCGTAATTAAAAATTCGAGCTTCCAGGTGCCCATATTGGGGTGGAGGACTACGTTATACAAAATTTGATTTGATTTGATTGCCATTATGAGCACTAATAATTGCTGATATACAATGACACACAGAGTCTAGAAAATTTAAGTGATATTTAGGAACATTGCAGTTCAGGCAAGAGTAATTCATTTCATGAGCTTATCCACTATAGTCGCTGCTGTTCACTGTCGTGCAAAAGCTTATGTGACTCCTTAGACTAAAGTCGAGAAAATCTGGTGAACGTGTGGTCAAAATAGAACCGTAACTTGCTGTATATATAGGAAATGTCAAATGTTGAATACGAAGTCTGATTTCGCATTATCCTGTTGGTAAATGGATCTAGGGTGCTTCAATAGGCGCTCTCCGCATTCCATCATACGCTCGCACATCCTTGGTGTTGTATACAAAAGCAGAGTTCGCTTGAAAAATCACTATCACGATATTAATGCATACATATGCATCATTCAGAGTATTATTGGTGCCGCAGACGTTTGTTATGTACCGTTAAATATAGTTGTCTTACATACATAAATGTCTTACATACAGGTTTTTCTTGCCACGCCAGAGCACCATATTTTTTGTGCTACTAGTGCATGATGTGTTTGTATAATGTGTAAAGGGGATTCGCACAAGAAGTCTGCCATCTCGGATACTGATGCATCGAGATCAACGTCTGCCTGTCTCTCTGTGCGTTCTTTGTTGACTAAATAGTTTTATAATTATATGAGTATGGTAAGATTTCGATTAGAGTGAGCGGCAGGTTGGTGGTATGATTGCGCAGTCACAGTTCCGCAATCAAATTCAGAAACATGCTCCTGAACTATCTTCCAACTCGAGGCATACTTCACACGTCTAGCCAAATAAATAAGAAAGAAAATTCTATTTTTGTATGAAAAATTAGTTTGCTTTTCTTGTTTTGATCGCACTGACCCTAAGTGGCATTTTAAATGCTCGTTTTTTGCATATGTTGTGTACTGCTAATCATTTGCTTATCCTACAATATTCTTTCTATTAAGGAAATTTCACATCGGGCGACTGCTTCTTCGATGGTGTTCCAAATAATTTTAAAGGCCAGCAGTGTAATTTCAGCATTTATCATAACGGTATGAGCATATAATTATTTTTTACTTAGCAGATTAGTTTAAATTAGATAAAGAAAAACATTAAAATTATGTAAATAATTATAATTCAAATTCCTGTCAAAATATCTTTAATAATAAATGTCATACGTTAAGTAAATCAGTTTAAATACAGCATAAATTGTCAACAGAAATTTCATATTCAGTATTTATTCAAATATTAGATCCATAATTGGAAAGTAAATCTGAAGAATTCACTATGTAATCAGAGTTTAGCATTCATTTCCTGTTTTTAATCATATCCCCTATAAATAAATTTTTGTTTAAAGAAAAACATTTTTCTTACTGAGAAATTTAACTATCGAAAATCTGATCAATTTTCCTAATTAACTTGTTTCTTAACCCTTTCAGCTCCAATTTATTTGTTTGTTTAAACTCACCTGATTTTTTAATGTACTCTTAGTAATTATCACAAAGAGTTGAAATATATCATTTTAAAGGAACTGACCACTGGAACATATATGACCCGTCAACAAATTTTATAAAACATATTCAATATACGCCATCTTTACATGAAGAAAAGATATTCGATAAGTAGTAATCGAATGTCAACAAACTTACGTATATATTTTTACACGTATTTTATGCAAAACCAGAAACTAAACAAGTCTAAAAACGTAGCACATGGTCGCTTTATAATAAACAAATTCACTAAGCCTCAATAAGAAGCTGCGCGCGACAATTTTGTGGTGTGGTGTAGTGGTGTATTTAATTATGGCAAAGCACACTAGGGCTATCTGCCTAAGGGGAAGGATGCCTTCGTGGGAGGACTTTCTAAGGGAAACTGGCTCGTATACACGTTACACATGGGGAAAATCACGAAAACACCCATGCAGCCAGCCCGTTTGCGGAAATTCGAACCTCGGACCGAACTACCAGTGTTCAGCGACTTTACTGCTCGGCCGCTGGTGGGCCGAGACAATTTTATAGTGGGGATGTTAGAAATGATGCCTACTACCATTTGGACATCAATTACGAAGTAAACTGATGCGTGTAATTCCCTCTAGGCTTCTTTAAACATTTACTGGGACTTATATAACTCATTGGAACTGAAAGGGTTAATGCATGCCCAATTTCAGTATCATTGCCACTTCAGTGATATAATTTTTTTCGCCAATTATAAATTATTGTTCAATAGCTTTAATCCTGTCGAATTTTTGAGAATTTAAAATATATTAGTATAGTGACATAAAATTGTCAAATAGTTTTAAATGTTTGAAGGAAATGTTCATGCGAGTCCGACAGCGATAAGTTATTTTCTTGTCTTCTTAAATTTTTAGGAATTCAGTTATAAAATTTTGTAAACTATAAAACGTTTTATCTTAATTAACCCAATTATGTTATTAGTTTATTTTTACTACTTTTACCTTCGTCATTTTCCATCAGACAGCAAATTAGTTAATGTATATTATAAGCGCAGAGTTCTTGAGTACAAGAAACGGCTTTTGGAAGCCCTTAGCTGATCTGTTACTCTGCTTACATCTCCTGTTACTTGAACTGATTTGTTGGCTTTAGTTTCGGCAAACCGTATTTGCTTCGGGAATACTTCCAGCCTTGGACAAGGCTTACTTAAGAGGGTATTAATTTGTATTTCATATTTTAATTTGACCTTGAACATCTGTTCTATTTATCGCTCAAGCTGCGGGGTTTGTTCTTTTATTACATAAGTTTTTAGATCGTCAGATATTCAGGTTTATGTGTTATTAAGAAGGTTTAATATTGTTTTATATTACATATGTATGTACATATGTGATATAATAATTATTTTATAATATTTAATATTGGTTTTATATTGTTATATTGGTGTTTGTTATATATTAATAATGGTTTTCGGAAATGAATATGCATATAAAATTTATTTCAAATCACAATTACAAAATGAAACTTTCTCTAATTTCATTTAAAACATTTAGGTACGTACAAAAAACATATAATGAGTATGCTCAAAACATTTTTCATCTTCTGTTGCAAGGAATGCGTGGGAAACAACAGAGATCAAAATGTTTGGAATCTTATATTCATAAAACTTCCTATTAATGTAAATTTTTATTCTTAGGCGAAATGTAATTATAGATCAATATTTATCCGTTTATGATAGAGGTGGTAATGTGTAGATTATTTATACTAAAATATTGCTTTTTTTACTATAGTTTGAAGTTAATTCTTTTTCTTCAACACTGATAATAGAGACTATTTTTATCCATCAATAGAAGTGTAATTACAAGTCGTTTACTAATTAATACATAATCAACTTTAAATATGAGTAATTCAACAATGACTCAATAGAAGATGTTAAATATCGTTGTAAAATTCCAAAGACTAAAATGTTGATCAGTAGTAATTATTAGTTTGTGTGTTTTTGGTGAAGTTACAAAAAGTTCTATGGCTTGGCTTATCGGATGCTTTTAATTAAAAAGCATTACCTTGTGTGCACTTCATTACATTGTTTTATTATATATTTATTCACCATGCATACTTAACTGTATTAATATTTACTTCATAAGTGAAAACTATGTTGTTTTGTTATACTAAAATTCATTGAAAAGTGTTATATGTTACAAAACAATACAAAATAGTAACTCCCTTATTATTAATGCCATGCTATTGATAGTGTTCTCTGTCTAGGTATAAAATTGGTTATGACTGTTTGCTCTGTTACGTAACATGTATTAATACATAAATAAGTAACATAAATTATCAAAAAAAAGTGAAAGATATTTTCTATGAGACGGTGTTACATTTTACTAAAATATACTGAACTAATACAGAAGTCATGCATAGGTTGCAATATTCTTTGCAATTTTTTTATGTATTTTTTTTTCTTTTTTAGGCCTGTGAAGTACATTTGAGAGATACACTATGTAAAGATTGAGTTCTAAACACTGCAAGAAACTGATAAAACTTTATTTTAAAAACCAAGGATCCATCATCCTCTCTTAAAGAGCATGCCGTCGGCATGTTGCCCAGATTTGTTTCTTTGCGGACATCTCAAAAGATGTATATACATCAACAAACCAGCAACAATCGAACTAATTAAAGACAATATACGGGCCGAAGTTCTTGAGTTACAGTTAGCAGTTCTTCGTAAAGTTATGAACAACGTACTGAGAGGAGCCGCTCTTTATGAGGCTTGGAACTGTGGTCAATTAAAAAGACATAATATTTCACACCTAATGCTTTCACATTTCTCAACCATGTACTTCATATTATAGTTAGGAATAAGTACGCGAATTTCCAAACAAACAAATGATGCAGTATTCAAACCCATGCGGCACTTGTGGTAAACAATGTGTCAGACGTAATTGAATCAATGAATATATACATAATGTATGAATTTTCTTAATAACAGAACAAAATCTTCTTTCAACAACACCTAAAATACTTTATATTATTTAAAAATCGTATTGTCAAAGGCTAGCAAATTTAGGAAATAAGTTAACTAGTATAAGAAGTTTAGAAAAGGGATAACCATTTAAGTAAAGAAATAAGAATAAGTTTGGAATCACACTGTTCTTAGAAAACGTTTTTGAAAGTAATGAATTTGATAGACTTCTTCAAAACGATAAAATCCACGAGAAGATGCATTTTTATACACACCAGTTCTTTTCTTCCGGGCAAAAACTGTTAATTTAATTTATCAGATTTTGTTTCGTGAAACCTATATACATAATTATACTTTTGTGTTCATTGTTGGATGAGTTTTGCAAGCCACGAAGGTAAATTTTTATTCCATGGAACTATGGCTGGAGAATTCCAAGGTGATATAATTTTGGGGAACTGTGCTACTGTTGGACTTTGGCCGTTTTCTATTATTTTATCAGGAGACAAAATGTCAGAAGGATGATTGTTTTCTCTTTCGTTATAAGCTGGGATGTTATTCCATGTTTCCTTTTTGGGTTCATAGTAGGTGTTTACTGGAGGTTTAGCATATTCGGTTTCATGTTCTCCATTTGTCCAGGAGGAATGTTCAGGCTCATTCCAGCTGTTATCCTCATAATCATGTTTTTTACATTGTATGGTACTTTTAATGATGTCTGATGCTTTTTCAGCTACCATCAAGGTAGGGGCTTCAATATTTCCTGAAGGTATGATGGGCATGACTGAAGCATCTACGACGCGTAGTCCTTTAACATTTTTCACCCTAAATTTTAAGAAAAATTGAATTCAGAATTTTTTAATTTCTTCAAGAAATATTAGCAAAATTATTTTAATGTTATACTAATATATTATATTAATACCGGCATTCAATACTTATAATAACATTTTTAAAACATCAAATTAAAAATTGCAAAATTATATTCTAGTACTAATTCTCAAAAGCATTTTTATATTTTATAAACTTAAAATTTTGATTGTACTAAGATTAATATTTTTTTTATTTTCTAATGGCAAGGTAAAGTACAACAAGAAATATAAAGACAGAACATTATAGAAGTGACTAAATGTTATTGCCTAAGACAGATTTTTGCACGCCAGTATTGGGTGGTCTCGGAGTCATAACGAAGAAATGATCTACAGCGAAGAAGGTGGGCTGTATCAAGGACGGAACGTGTTCGCTCTGTTTATAGGTTCCATAAGATCACAGAATGAGACAAATAGTTGAGCAAATATGCCAATTCGGTAAAGATGTTCACATAGGTAAGCAAGATCTTCAGCATTCAATTGTTTCGTGTTAATGCTATACAACAATTTCAGATGATGTCTTTGTTTCATAGACTGCTTAGCTTTTTTGAGTGGTATGACATATCTGAGTTTGTTGATTGTAATAGTGATGCACCGCACCTTTTCGTGCGAGGAAATCTGCCTGTTCATTTCCGTAGATGCCGCTGTGTCTAACTAAGATGAATTAATACTAAATAGTACTATCGAAATCAACTAATACTATCAAGAATATTTAGTATTAGTTCAACTAAGATGAACTAATAGTAAATGCTTTTGATGGCGAGGAAAATATATGAAATATCTGCTGAGGAAACAAATATTCATTTGTGGGTTCTATATTAACTAGCAAACACGGAAATTTAACTTAAACCGTGTTATTATTTTTTAGAATTAAAAAAAAACCGGTAAATTAATAGATCAATGCGTTGACCGTTATAACAATGCGAGAGCATAAGCGAAAATTTCAATTTCTTGCTAGGTTAAGAAAATTTAAATATTATAAGCTTTTTCGGAATATGATTCCGACATATTCCAAAAATTGTCTACGACAATTCTTACGAAGTAGAAAATAAATAAAAAAAAAAAAAAAAAAAAAAAATTTGTTAAGTAACTTAAATTTCATACCTCAGTAGAAACTTCCGAACTATAAAGTTTTGAATTGTTAGCTTAGCAATACTTTATTTGGCTGTAAATACATTGTTAGTTTGGCATGTAAACACATTGCTAGTTTGGCAATTCTTTATTTGGCTGTAAAGATTGCATTAATTTTTTAAAAAATATTCTTACCGTAAATGTGGATCCACCACAGTAGTCGGATCTTTAGGATCTCCCATCTTAGCTGTACCGACCGGATGGTAGAATGACACTACTGCTGACCTTACTTGACACCAGAAGTAGCGATCTATATTTAAAACGTACTTTTCACAACCAGGGTAAATTCCGTCCGATGGTGTTGAACCCACTTTCTTCAAAGGCTGACTTGTTCCAATGCGCATGCAAGTCTTCAGTCCTGCGAAGTTTAAATGAAATACTTAATATGGTGATAGCGGACATAAAACTGAAAAACAAAAAGAGGAATTTAAAAAAATTACTGAAAAAAATTAAGTTGAATTGTAGTTTGGTTTATTTGATTATAGAAAAGTACTCGAGGGCTATCTGCCTGAGGGGAAGGATGCCTTCGGGAGGATCTTCTAAGGGAAAGTGGCTCGTATACACGTTACATATGGGGAAAGCCACGAAAACGCGTATGCAGCCAGCACGTTCGTCGGGATTCGAACTTCAGACCGATCTACCAGTCTTCAGCGACTTTACCGCTCGGCCGCTGTTTTGTCTTTGATGTGTAGATAGCAGTTTTTATTGTTAATAACCTAGTGTAAAAATTACATTTTGTGTATTTGATATTAAACAAATAAAAAGTGTGGAAAACTTCCCGCTGAGCTTTAATAAACAAGTTCATATTCGTAAGTTCTTCTTTGATCCACTTCTTTCCAAGATAAGCTGTCCAACAAAATGGCTTCTTAGTATATTAATCCTAGAAACGTACGATATTTATAATACTTCCAATTATAAAAGCTTCTTTAATCTTTTCATTTGAAGTAACTAGTGTGCGAGCTAGATCAAAAGCCCAGTCACTAGTCACTCTCATAACAGAGTGCAGTTACGATTTTATATCACACTTCTCATCCATTTCTATAAACTTGGGAGCACCCGCGCTCATATGAGTTACACGAGCGCGCGCACTGGGTCTAAAAGACCCGATTAATGTTTTTTGAAGAAAATACTGTAAATCTTCAGGAAAAGTGTTACGTCTATGCCAATAATAAATTTTTTGATGAAATTAAAAAAGTATGCACATTAAAATTTTTAATTTGTCGAAATGCTTTTATAAAATAAAATTTCTTAAAGGAATAGAAACTCGTATTATATGCTAGCACAGGAAAAAAATAGCGTACCTTTGTTCTGTATCGATTCTTATTTTCTTTATTAGCACCATAGACAGAAAATGCAACAATGCATAGAAAAAAATGCAGCAACAAATTGTAGCAGCAGATTGAACAAAGTGTTGTCATGTGTTCCAAATACAAATATTTTTCACATCCGGCAAAGCGCGTTTCCGTTTTCTGTGCTTTTTCGCTGAGCAAACACAGTATCTTTTCCTTTTTTTTTTTTTTTTTTTTTTTGTTTCTGGTAATTGTTTTTCAATAAAACGATTTATGAGATTCCCACTTTCGATTTCAGAATCTATATCAGTTTCTGAATCAGTATCGTGTGAACTAAAAATTCATGATTACTTCCATTCTCATTTTCTTCAATACATTCTTCGCCAGTTTATACACCTAATAACTTTTGCAGCATTTCTTCATTGTAAGATAAATCACGTGACATGTTTGCCACTTTCTATACTATCACAAATCAACTACGTAACAGTAACACGAATATGCGCGCTGGGTTTAAAAGACCCGATTCGATCAAAATCAAGATTCCGAATCAAAGCCAAAGCGAAAAAACTTCAGAAATATAAAGTGGTCGGCCTCAAACACGAGCGCGGATCCATTAGACCCAGCGCGCGGGCTCGGAGGTTAAATGAAGAATTTTTAGATTATTAGTTGTTCATAAATCTTCGGTTTCATAACGATTTCATAGGAATTGGTTTTGAACTTGATATTATTTATTTCTAAAATGTTAAAGGGCGATAGTATTGCCTGTTTAGTAAATTTTCCTCATAATATGAATAACATAGGAGATACTAAATACGAAAATTTACTTTGATTATAATAGTACTGCCGATATTGCATGTAAAAGTGGCCGCAGCCGTTACGACATATGTAATAAAAGGGTAAGTACTGTGAGATTGAGGACCATTTCCATCAGCCTGTCAAGAATTGTGTCAGACAATTATAATGTAAATCAATGACATGAGAAACACACACCAATTTTTAACAAATGAAACGGAGTATCTAAATTGGAAATTTTAAATATTGATAACAATTTGTATTTAACTGGTTATAACTTTTATCACTTCTCTTAATGTCGAATCTTCTGAAGCATTTTAATATGAAATCTCTATCCTTACAGGAACTGGGTATTATCTCAACGTTAAAATATATAACGTTGAGATAATACCCAGTTCCTGTATATTTTACCGGCAATATATGACACGCTGGCATTTTACAGAATACCTAGGCATTTTATGGAATGCTTGTGTTTTTAGGCTAAATGTGAAATATAAGAATTATTACATACGTTAACTAAGCAATATATATAATAACGAGGCATTGTAGTATAGAATCACAAATGCTCGTAAAGTACGGAAAAAAATGGTCATGATAAGTTATGCTATAGTTTAAAAGTCGTTCCTTCCTGAAAAAAACAAATGTTATTCTGAAAAAATAATGAAAGATTGACATTAAAAAACTTTTATTCAAAATAAGCAAAACAATTAGTGAGATGATCTTAGTACATTATAATAAATTTGTATTCTTTACCTGGCTGAGACTGAAAATAATTAAGATTCAGCTGATAATGGAAGTTAACTTCAGAAAAAATCATAGGTTTCATAACAATGCTCTTTTTTAATACATTTTTGTTTTTTCTGGCTTATCTCACACAGATGGATGTACAGTTCAATATCATTCCATATAACGTTTTTTTTGTATTCAGCTGAAAGTTCTTTTAACATTCTGCCATGTCCTTTGTTTTCAATAGGCAAATAATAAGTTTCACGAAGTACGTGAAATAACTCAGTGTTCGTAACTGTATAGTACTAACGCCTTCTTTAACAGGATAAATGAGCTTACTTTTGTTTTCCACACACATCCCGTCATAGCGATTCAGCAATCAGTATTCCCGTGATTCTTTCTTAGCAGTCATTTTGGATTTTTTATATTATATATTGACTTCTGCTTACAGTTTCGGTTATTCGAAATGAATCGGAGATGTTTTTCATAGTTTACCTGTGTGTCGTTTGGTATTCAATAGAATACCTAGTAATCGTTTCATAAATTGCCGGCTAGTCTGGGATATTCTATAAAATTCCTAGGTATTCTGTAGAATGTCAGATTTCATACTTTGCTGGTAACATATATATTTAAAAAAAAAAGGCTCTCCAACGTAATGACATAGCTAAGAAAGCTAATAAAATTTCTTTCATTTTGTATCATTTGTTCCTCAAATTCATTTAAATAGACCGTACATTTTGTAAAATGTAAAATATTTTAAATGTTATTGTAGTAAATAATACGTTCCCCCTAAAAAAAAATCTCAGAGCAGATGAGGTTCTTAACCACAAGGAAAATACTGGTACATCCTCATGTGAGGCCTTTACATGCCCACAACGTATAACATTTTAAAGGAAACTAGAATCCTTTACTTCCTGTGGAATGATATCTGAATTTAGAAAAACGCATTCTTTGATAAAAGGTTTAATATAATAAGAATGAAGATCTACTTCAGGCTTGAAATTCATTTCTAAATTTAAAGCTCTATTTTATTCTCATTGCTCTCACTTTAAGCGCCAAAAAAGCCTTCTACCCATAAAATAATATAACCAATCTCAAAATCTTACCATCCACAACATCTTGGATATCTTGTGGGTCATCAAAGTAATTGGGGTCGATAAAAGGGCTGTCGTAGGGATCCGTAGAACGTAACCTAATTGTTCCTCGGCTACGAGGCTGGAGAAGATGAGACAAGCATCCCAACCAAGGTTTTCCTTCATAAGGGCCATACACGCTTTGAAACACCTGGCAGACAGAAAACAGAGTAATAACTAATATTAGGAAGTAAGCATCTATGATCTATAATAGAAATTTAACATTTTACTTTAAAATTTATATCACCCAAATGTTTGTTTTCACATCACATGCATTGCTGAATCCTAATCCCAAAATTTTGCTTAACGGATTTTAGCTTTTATGTATTTAAATTCACAGATTAAAAAAGTCTTGTCTGTAATCTCTAAAGAGCTGAAAAGAAAAAAATCTAGGAACTAGATAAGCAATCACTATTTTTCATTCTGCTTATTAGATGGACAAGTCAATTAGCGACTTTCAAACGGGCACGTAATTTGTAAGAAGTATACTTATTATACATTTTTTTCTGATAATGCGAGGAACACTTTTTTAGAAATTACAGATATATAAATTAAATATGGGAGCTTTAATTGCTTACAATGGCCTAATGGTGTTTCTTCTTCATTCAAACTGGAGTTTCGTATTTTTCTCTACTTTTACGCCGAAGAACTTGAAAAAATATGAATAATCGCAAAACTGTTCTTTATTAATAGCATAATTACTCTCTGAAAGTCGCAGTTCCGATAGCCCATATTTTATTAACAATCTCATTGCCACTGAAAAAAATATCAAAATTTTACTAAGAAGAATACTAGCTCGTTCTGTTACAGTGGCAAACAATATCGAAAGGTATATAAAATTTTTGTTTTGTTTAGAAATGAAACACAGATTTCCGATGCCATATTTTTTTTTTGCTGTTTTTTCTTCGTGAAAACTAATATGCGCTATATCTGGAGATTATTGAAAATATGGAAGCGAAGTCTCTCTTGCTCTGTTGGAATACGAGGTATATTTTGAGATTTTTGTTATGCAGTTTTACAAGGCCTAAAAGGTTGCTGAGATATGACAAAGTATTCTTAAAAATATATAGCTAAAAGCTATTTTATGTAGAAAGAATATATTAGGATTCCACGTTAGCTTGTTTAAAGATGTTATTACTTACAGAATATTTATACTTACCTCTGGCCTTAAATTGAAGTTTAACAGAGGAATTAGAGTAGCGCCTTCTACGAAATATAGTTGATATCTGGGAAAATCTTTTTTCTTCTCCCAGTGATTCGTCTCGTTGCTCAAAAATGCCATAGTATTTACTATTGCTGTGCCAGAGAGTGGACCTGAGGTGAATATAAGAGGACATATGTAGTTATAATCTGATTATGTTTATAAATAAAACTTCTTAAACAAAGCATAGGCATTCCAACGGAAATAATTTTTTTTAAACCTATAATCTATTTAACAAACAAATGCTAAATAAGCCAGCGACGTTATTACTGTTTTTTGAAACAGAAGTTGGTTTGTAAATATAGTTCCAATGCCGGGAGATTTGCGGATTATATATTTAGACCGCCTTGATGGTGGTGTAGTGGTTAACGATTCTGGCTGCTATATCATTGGATTCGGACTCGAATCATCGGAAAGGCTCAGATGTTTGTTAGTGCATAGTGTATTTTCGACATAGATGCAATTAAAATATTGGTGAAGTAAAGAGGTTAGGTAGCACCTGAAGAAGGTTGGGAAGCTCTCGGATCTGTCACCCTGGATATTCTCTATCAGAATTGAAATGAAGTTTCGCCTTTCTCAAGGGGATACCTCTTTCTCGGTCGCTACGTGAGGCAAAATTTTTGGCGATTAGACAAATAAATGACCAATGGGTTCGGCTCTTCTGTACGATTGCTTGGCTAGCAAAACATTCGGCTGTTGTAAAATATTTAGATTAGGAAATTATAGCTTAGTAATACAAATTAGTTACATTATAAATGATGCAAATCAGGCATGAAAACTGAAAACGAAAGCTGAAAGCTAATTAAGAAGCTCTGCTAATTATGCAGCTTATTAAAGAATAAAATAAAGGTATAAATTATTAAGAAATATGCCTTACTTTTCAGTCATTCACTTTAGTAAGCAATGCATACTTTTAGTTTGAAAAATAAATTAAAGATTTTATTTAAGAACAATGGCAAAGTCTCTCAAGATTTTCTGGTTTTGTAGCTTACTAGTTTTTTAATGTTTAGTTGTAAAATTTCCAAGACTAAACTGCAATTATTATTTTGCCAAAATTCACTTAAATTAAGCTTAAAATTTTTATTCTTGTAACAGAAATGTAAATTTAAGCTGATTTTATTTGAAAGTTTAAAACCTATGTTTAGAGTTAATTTTATAGAAGTTTGCTAGCAAAATGTTAGTTCTGATACAGCTAAATGTTGCATATATGTTAGAAATAACCCAAACAAAACATTAAATCTGATTAAGTTACCTATTTCAGAAATATTTTCGCCTTTGTCTATTCCAGTATTTAATATAGATACTTCATTTCATTACACTTTGAATCTAGTAATATAATTTATTCTCAATATACGAATGTTGAAGATGAGTCAAAATTTATTTCTTATAACTAATTTCTTAAAATTAAGTCAAAATGGACAACATTTTGGGAACTTCTTGGGTTTTTTTATGTCTCCGAAATTTAGTTTTATCTTTATTTTTCACAAGAAGAAAGTTATCCTCATATGAAAATTTTCATAACTACGGTTTAATTTTAGGTATGTATTAAAGCAACTATCTTTGTAGAAGGGCGAGTATTTCAGAATGCGTAAGACTGTAGTAAACATGCCCATAATAATTCTTCAGCTTACTAAGCAGATTCAACATTTTCTTGTCTATTTTTAAATTCCTACTATTAGATCACACTCTTCCTATATCTTGTTCAAATTTTCAATCATTAATAAAATACTTGTTATTCATCCACTCAAGTTCAAATGCATTTTTTAAACTTCTAGTGGATGACACTTGATGTTAATACAGTTTTTCACATATTAAATATTAAAAAAATTGTTTGTATTTTATTTTATTTTATTTACATTTTTTAAATTTTCCTTTGTTGACCTAAGTAGGAATTGACCTTAAAAAAATTTATTTTACTTGTTTTTAATTATATTTCAGTTTCTAATGGATTTTTGTGTACAAATTGTTATATTTCAATGAATTCGTCTTTAAAATACGAGTTTGGGGGCTTTGCTAACAATAGAAGAAACTGAAAAAAAAAAATGCTGTAGAAATATGGTACTTTGCAGCAAAATTGCTAATGGAAATAAATTCTTTGAATCTCTTCTTAAAGAAATTGTTGCAAAATTTCCACCAGAGCAAAAGAAATAAAACACCACTTGCAAATAAATTAACTGATTGATTTTTGAGATAAACACCTAATTGAAACATAAAATATACATGTTACAATTTTTTTTCTATTATAATTATTCTTTTCTCCTCTAAAAATATCATCAGATTGCGTTGTTTCGGATAAAGCATCGTTTATAAAACTGTGGGTGACGACCCCCAATGAGATCACAAAGCGAAATATTGCGGTCACGAAAATTTAACTACGATACGGAAATTTCAAGAACCATCAGTCACCAGCCTTTTTACTTCCTTGTACGAAATAAAAAAGAAGTATTGTAATCGCGAAAAGCTTCAGGCAGCATATTTCAACGAAAATATCCACTTTGACCGCTTTCGAATGCAATTTAACAATGTTTTTGCGTGATATCTGTACGTAAGGACAGAATAAAAGACTTTTTTTCCTCCAAAAACTAAAAAACTGCTTTAAAATGAATTCTGAAGAGAATTTTTCGTGGCATCTGTACGGACGTATGTACGTACTTGCGTACGTACGTATCTCGTATAACTCAAAAACGAGTAGCCTCAGAACGTTGAAATTTTGCATATAGGACTGCTATAACATGTAGATGTGCACCTCGTATTTTGGTTGCAATCAGCCGTACCAAACGTATATAAATATATTATATATATATCCACTCTGTTACCCGGCTCAGTGATCTCAGTTTCTTTACTCTTATATGTTTGTAAATTGTACATTTTTTGCTTTAAAAATGATTGAATTATGTTGTTTTTATCTTCCGGTTAAGGGTTTTATGCCTTTAGTAAATCTGTATGCCATATTTTTAGAATTATCAACAATTTTAAAATTGTTTAAGTGCCGCTAAGCCTAATTTGATGGCGGCCATTGCTCTTGTTTACATTTGAAACAGCTGAGTAGCGGATTTGTTGCCAATCTAGAGAAACTTAGCTTCGCAACAACAAAGATAACATCTTCATTTATTATTTAAATCATGCTTAATCCTTTCTGGAATTTTTTCGAGGAAATAAGCGTTTAAGATTTACTTCGTAATTTTTAATACAGATATTTTGAGTTTTTATGTATTTTTGCCTTGTCGCGAAGTGAAAACTGAGTTAATTGAATGAGAAATACTCAATCGTCTGTGAAAAACTGTTTCTTTTTTGTTTTGTTTGCTTAATTTCTTTTATACATCGTTCTAGCTTTATTATAGTATTTGAATAAAACATGTGGCAACGATTAGATAATTCTTTAAATGATATAAATTTTGTGCATTCTGAGTTATAATATGAACGAAATATAATACTGTTAAGTAAACCTAGAGTGAGAGTGTCGCTGTGGTAAACAAAGTGAATTTTAAAGAATGCATTTATTCTATTGTGGTTTATGCGCTGTCGGCGAAGTAGGTTTAATTCAATCTAATAAGTTTAAATAAAATGCAAGAAAAAATGCTTATAATTTAATATTCCGTACAAGGAAGTCATGTGGTGTTCACATCAGATTTTTTTACATTGCATTGCAATATGTGAGTATATAATGTATTTCAGAATCAAAATAAGTCCGCTGCAGAGGAATAGTACGTAATGTCCTGTGTCACAAAGGGATGCCGAGAATAAGGTCGGCGCTGCTACAGCCAGTATAATGATAACAGTTTTCCAGTATAAGACAATTGTTTCTGTTTTACCCCAGCAAGAGTCTATATCGCAAGAACAACTGTGGAGTCAGTAGGTATTTTTAAAACAAGAGGACATGAAAAAATGGGCAATGCCCTAGCTAAGGGACACCGGACGACCCAATTGCCAGCCTGAGGTGCTATCCAGTTACACCCCGAAGGCAAAGGTAAAGAGGGAGAACATATCTTATACAATAAAATATTGTATTTCATTGTTTTACTCGACTAAGGCTGATGTTTATTTGAATAATTATTATGATACGGATACCGAATATGATGTCACTTATATGGCCCAAGGAGCCTTTATAAGTTAATAAGAAAACTACGAAATGAATGATAAGATGCAAAATGAATAAAAGTTCTACAAGTAATGTATACAAAACTGTACAGTTATTTGCAGCGCATGATATCGTAAATGCAACAATAAAAGGAATAATCTATATAGAATAAAATACTAAATACATTAAAAATAAGTAGTTCAAACTAGGTTACAAAGTTATGGTCTCTAAGGATGTGGGTAGCAAATGCTCCGAACAATTTATCTTCTGGAATGATTTGGTAATTAGACGAAATTTGCAGCATCACAGCTAGTCTAGTGTTGAAGAAACAATCATTAAATCTAGAAATATGGTTCGCTGCAGTGTAGATTTTCAAGTCATCAAGAATCAGCTTGTTTCTAATCAGGTAATAAGCATTTAAACCTTCTCAGAATCTTATTTTGTACTATCTGAAGTTAGGAAAAGTCCACATTTGAGGATAAGGTTAAGACCGGAGAATGCATATAATACAATTGGCTTTACAATGTATAAGCAAATCTTTCTTTTCATTTTGAGAGACAGTCTAGAGTAGTTTCCGAAGAGTACGGAATGCTGGTTGGCAATTCCACAGATCTTTTCTAAGACCTGTTTAATATAACAAGTTCCGTGTGAACCTATGATAATAACCTCCAGATAACTTATGTTATTTAAATTGTAAAATCGAAAGAATCTACGAACTACGCACACCTCGCTTTAATAAATTAACATAAATTTCAAAGAATACCATGTACACAGCATCCTATTTAAACTTATAAAAACATGTATTATTTGCACAAGGCATTGAGCACAAATCAACAAAATAAAGTAAATTAAAATTGTAATTCAAAAAACAGCAATAACAACAGAAATTCATAGTAAAAAAACGATGAGCATAACATTCTACAAAATGAAATGCACTTACCATAATGCATTCGTTAATAAAATTTCGCCAGTCACACAACGTCTGTGAACAAAAGTGCCACGATTTTGCTATATCACATGTCTTTCTGCGATTCAAAATTTTAACGCTTATTAAATCCTACTAGCGTTCAGCACTGAAAAAGGCTAAAGATGCTTTACGTCCTTAGTGTCAAATATCATTGAGCTTTTTCTTTATTTAATTTATTATGTAGCAAAAAAACAAGTACACCCGTTTCATTAAAAACTGATTTTCGTTCATTTTTATGTATTTAAACCTATTACTTTTGGTATGTACATTGTTTTCCACAGAAATAAATTATCATATTTATTACTTTATTTATTAAATTTATATTTATTTTTGTATATTTAGTCTATATTTAATACATGGTGCAGCAAAAAAATCTCAATGTAAAAGGTGGGTCATGAGAAAAAAAAAAAAAAATAGAATTTGAAAAGCGCTGTTATGATGGAACTAGACTTACATTTTTTAGCAACTATTTCTTAGATTAATCACTAGATGGCAACACATTATAATTTGTTATTTAATCGTAGCGTTACTCCCAGCAAATCATCGGAACTTGGTTAAGAATTACTTGACCTCTGGACTCTCTAAAGGAGGGGTCCCTAAGATCACATTCTGGAATATCTGTTCGACGGCGGGCACCATTTACAATCAAGGTGAATTTATAGTTGGATAGAGGATACTTAAAAAAAAAAGAGATCGGACGCATTTCGCTTTGTGCTGGTATCTATCTGTGTTGGATGCAATTTCTATTTCTTAAAAATGAGAAAACTTTCACATAGAATTTTACTGAAAAATAAAACATTTTTATTGCGATCGAACAGCAGCGGGCACACGTTGAACGATCGGCGGGCGCCATGCTGCCCGCGGGCATCAGATTCTGAACCCCTACTCTAAAGGGCACTATACTACTTATAGGGCACTATACTACTTAAAGGGCATTACACTACTTAAAGAGTTTCTAAGAAGCAGTGCAGGATATACGTATACGCTGCACAAGCTTAGGGCTCCCGTTTTCTTGGGGACCCCCAAAACACCCTCTAGGTATCCGAAAATCATATTTGGCACTGACATATAATATATGGACTTATAAAAGACCCCATATCTCAAATAGCTTAGGGCCTGAATCCGGCCCTGCCTAGAAGCATCTAAATGAGCCGGAAAACAACAGGTATCAGGTATGTTAATTGCGTCACTCAGCGGTAGTTGTAGGTTAAGAATTAATTAAATCAGTAATCTTCAACTCACAGCCCTGGGATCAGTTTTATGCGTCCCGTGAATATATTGTTGCAAATATGGTGCATTCAGTTTAGGGACTTAAAAATATAGACTGAGCTTATGAGCCTGATTGATACTCAAAGAAAAAAAAAAAAAAATAGAATGAATGCTTGTACCACAGGTTATGTGGCGCGATAAGATGGGAGGATTTCCTGTATTGTTACTATCAGTAAATTTAGTTTGTTAGCCGACAGCTGATGATACTTCAGTATTCTGAAATTTCTGTTTTTCTAGTTAAGGTTAAAAGTAATTTATTCAGTGGTTAGTTACACATATTGGAATAACCTGGAATAAATATCAGTCTAACGTTTAATATCTAATCGTCAATGCATTTGATTTACAGAATATAAAACCAATAGAAATTTCTTGCAAGTATTAGTCTTTACACCTGAGGTAGAAAATAAATATAAATTTAATTTTTTTCTCTTGTGTTATTATTATATTTTTGTTTATGAATGTTTTAATAAATATTCGGTAAGATATTTAAAATTTATTTTTTTACGATGATTATTAATGTTTATTAACCCAAAGAGGCGGTAGCCCAGGGCAGCTGTTAGCCTCAAAACGGTATTTGGCGCTTTTGCGCATACATTTTCGCTGCAATTTTTTTACGGCCCTCAAAATGGAATAGTACCCTGTTTCTAAATAATTTATTTTGTATTTCAAATTTTGTAAAACTAAACGAATTTTTGATCAAAAAACTCAATTTCAAAGCAAGCAATGTGAACACCGTACGGGGAATAGAAAATTTTATCTCCAACGCGCGAAACTGAATCAGAAATTCTAAACATGGGCTGTTTTTCAATATTTTTAGCCCAAAGGAATATTCCCCAGATGCTCTCGAAATGTGTATGTGTATTGTCAATGATAAAAACTCCTCTATGGGGGTTTATTGTTTTGTTGCTATGTTGAAAATGTTTTTAAATTTGTTGAAAAATATTCTGACTAGTCAGCTGCTTTCTGAGCGAGCATTCGCCCCGCATGCAATTTGAGTTCAAGACCACGGAATTACGTAATTAACTTCACATGTTAGCTTAAATTGTTAGTTTTAGTAATGATTTGTCTTTATCGTGAGAAATTTTTTAAAACTTAAAAAGTTATAGTTTTTATAGCCATAGCATTTACTTTTGAAATCAGAAGGCAAATTTTTATAATAAACTTACATTCTTTCTCGATTTCACGAGGAACTTAATTTCAAAATGATTAGTTAAAATAGCTGTGTTTCAGTTACTGAATGTTTAAGAAACATAAAATGAGAATCTCGTATAAATAAGTAACTCTTGGAACGGCCAAATCAGTTCTACAGACTATGAAAAATGAAAATAAAAATTTATTGTAATCTGATCCCCTCGATTTCAGTTTAAAACGTGAAACGTGTCAAAAATTAATATGTGATATTTGGACTATAAATAGAACTCTAGAGATGCAAATTATATAAATTTATTATAATAAAGTATTTTAGCATAACCAACAAGAAATATGTAAATATTTCCCATTGGTTCTTGTTTCATTAAATAGAAATCCTATCCATTTTTATTAATTAATAAAACTAAGTTTTTGTTCTAATGTTTTTTAAATATCTTAAAAAACAGATTTTTTTATCCATTGAATTTTATTTTATATGCAGGTAGCAGCATACACGGATTTAACAGTAGATTGTCAGCACTAATTTGATGTGTTATTTAGGTCAATCGGATCAAACAACTTGAAATGTAATCTCTAGATGTTGATTCGTTAAAGCATCGAAGAGTTGTTTTATTAAACATAGTATAAATAATTACATTGTAACAATTTTCATATTAGCGATAAGCGGTGCATAGAAAAACGACACAGATCAGCGAGCACATTACGCAGAAGCACTTATTATCTCTTTTGTCTGTGCTGCAGGCACTTATTATCTCTCTTGTCTGAGCTTGATTGATGGATTCCTCATATTTCTTTCCTCCGGTTACGTCGCTACACTACTATAAGAAGGCCAATGCTAAAGCATGTGGAACTACATATGGCGCTAGAATCTAGGGACGGTAAAACTTTTACAATTTAAGAAGAAACTGGACTGAAGAATTTTGGAGTGGTGAAGGTTGCACTAAGGGGCAAAAAGTCTAGTGCCGGCCCTGCCTACTAAGTAAAGAAAACTAATGAAAACCATATACTGCATGGACTGGCAGTAGCAGTTAAATTGATTTGAATTTGATGAAAAATGAAATAATACCCATTGAAGTTCTTTCAGATGTCAATAAAATTTATAAAAGTAATATTTGTAAATTCTTTTCAATATATTAAGCACATTGCTCACTTTACTATTTTTCAGTTGCATCAAATCCCGAATTTTAAAATTGAGATTAAATAAAATTCTATCACTCATTAACCAAAATAGTTAATTAAAAAACAATAACTGATAACAATAACTGATTTAAAGTAATTATAAGAAAACTTAAATAAAAAATTAATGCTCTAAAGAAGCACAAAGCATTAGAAACGAATAAAACGTACCTGTTCGAGATTGAATATACCGTTCAATATTCACTGGATTTGTGAGTTTCACTAAAATTTGAGGGATTTCGGGGTTCAACAGGAAATTTACATTTGTACCCACGTGATCTTGCAAATTTTCTCCTACTGGAAGATCAGAAATTACTGGAATCTGAAATGGATTAAAGCAAAAATTCGTTCAGCTCTCCACAACAGCTTACCGTTTTCTAATAAATATTTAGAAAAAGCTTTTCAGAATTAGGAACTTAATCATAGCACAAATTATTTTGAAATTAATATTTATTTTAAATATAACAAAATGCTTATTATTCGAGTCTTTGAGAACGTACTCCAATTTGAATAAATAACAAGTAATGTAAAATTTGTTACAAACAAGCACCATACAGTTTCAAAATTCATTAAAGATAATACCATATTTCGTCTTTCACCACTTTTTTTCACAATTTTTGTTAGAATCGAGACTTAATAGATTATATTTTTAATTATCAAAGAAAAAACTTGAAACATTTATTTCAAAGTTAGTATAAAACCATATATTTTACATTCAGCCTTACCATTTCCTTTTACGTACAGTCATATTATAAATACTTTTAAGTGTAGAAGTTGAAATGGATTCGGGTCTTAATCCAGCTCTAATCACGTTAGAGCTAGATATTTCTCGAAATTAAAAGAACTCAATATTTATTGGTATTTAACGTAAAAATAGTTTTAATTTCCATATCGTTTTTCTTGAATAGCTGATATACTCTCACCATCGTTTAAAATTTTACACCCAAGATAATTTGCATCGATATTGGATCCTTCATTCACTTCTTCTCGATTTTAATTGAGTCTCTTTTGGTCTTTTCATATCAAGCCTTTTTGCATTTCTGATATTCATTAACACATTTCTCGAATTCATTATTAAACTTGTAAGGATTATGTTAATTTTATTAACAGTTAAAGTTTGAATTAAAGTTCCTTTCCTATCGATTCTTAACTTCGCTTACCACTTCCGGCCAAAACGTAGTTTTGGAATCCCGTCTGAATACATAATGAGGAAGAGTGGTATTTAACCGCGAAGTTCTTCGGTCTTAAAAAGAGAGATACTAGGTATTCTGGCTGCACGCGTCCGCCTTTTTAGGCTACTCTCAGGTAAGCTATCATTACGCTCGGCCGTACTTTAGGCCCTTAATACCTTCGCAGTCTATTAACGTTAAGGGGCCAACTCTGTTAGAATTTTGATAGCTTCGGCTGTACCTCTTTCGCTAACAGTGAAAGCTGGCTTGTTGTCGCTTTTCTTCGCTGGTGGCCTCTTTACTAATGGCGCTTAAAGGAAAATCGTAAATCGGCTTTCTCATTTTCACTTGCTTTCGCTTTGTTACAGTTGCAATTTTTCCTTCAAGACAGTGGGGTTGTTGTAAGCTTAGGTAATTAGATCTCTCTTAACGCTTAGTTTCCGCTTGTTAGCTGGGGGATCCACCTTATTTCCCACGTTCAGAGTACAGATGATCAGGACTGCATTGTCCGGATTTGATTCGTTGTGGGGTGACATTTCTCAGTTAAAGAAAAAGTAAAATACTAGGGTTGGTGAGTTTTGATTTTATGATTTTTTTGTAAGCCTATGAAATTGTCGGGGGCGGAGAGACGAGTTTACCTCGGAGCTTGCACCTTGTTTGAAATACATTCGGTTTCTGACTTTGAGCAAAAAGGAAAAGGAGAAGCAGAAAGCGACGACGGGGCTCCCCCCCCCTTGAGGGACGAGCGCTGGCTGTTGATTCAGATTTCGGAGCGGAGGCCGATATGGAGTGATTTGAGTTACAGCATTTTAAGTCTCGTAAGAGTGCGCGGGGGCTTTAGTCCTGCAGCGGGCTTCGGCTCAAGCGGGTCGGGATTGCGTTGGCTACTAGAAGAGCATTTTCTTCTAGAAAGATTTAAAATAAGGTGAGTACTTTACCGACAACCTTTGGCACTGATTACTTCTGGTATCTTCTTCTTTATTCTTTGAGAACTCTCTGCTGTTGTGAACGCAGCGTTGAAGGCGAATAATTTTAAAATCCGTGAGGAGCATCTGGCGCGGGGCGAGTTTCTACAACGGTCCTTTCAGTAGTCAAAGGAAAATATGAAAGACGAGATTTGGATTACTAAGGCTAACCTATGTACCGGTTATGTTGACTACCTCCTGTAACAGAGTTATGACTTCAAGGAAAGGAAAGAGACTTTCTCTGTGAAAGATTGTATGTTTCGGAAGAAATTTAAGAGCTGAATTCACGAAAAGGAAAGAGACGTTTCTCTGTGAGTAGAAGGATTATATGTTACGGAAAAACTGTCAGTGATTTTTTTTTATTTTTATTTATTTTGAATTACAGTAATGATTATTCTTAATAACCAGGCTAGAGTTGTCATTTTAATGTTTGCTGAAATTTGAATATGATATCGTAGGGTTAAATTTGCTTAAAAATGAATTAATCGTTACACTGCAAGTTTCATTATTCTTAAAGGAAATTACCTTGGTTAATACCTTATGTCAAAAATGAAATGAAAAAATATAAGTGTTACATTTATGATACTGTAGGATTTGAAAATGTTAGCTTAATTAATGTAAGCTGTAATGTGGTGTGAGATTCTGTGTTATTTTGCATAGTATTATTATGGTAGGGAACTGATCAGTTTACCTAGTTAACTTATGTTATAGTGTTTTAGAAATCAATAAATATGCGTGTTTAAAACTTAATTGCATTTGTGTATTTATCTTGTGTGTATTTTTTTTTCCTGGTCTGTCAAGTCACTCTTTGTTTGAGCCGGGAGGCTTTCTTAAGAAACATGGAGCTTTATTGAATTTGTATTAGTGTTTTTCCCTAGTGGGTTTCACAGTGCGCCCTATTGCACTAACCCTTTACGATTAAGGTTTTGAAAGTATTTTGGTTTTAGGATAATTGTTACTTAGGTGCTAGGAATGAAATTAAACTTCTGATTGATTTTTCTTAGGGACTGTTTGGTGTTTATGAATGATTCTTCGCTTGTGCTTTGAGGTTCTGGTTTAATGAAAATGAACATGATTAGTGAAAAGATTTCATTATGTAGTTAAGTGGATTTAAGGTATTTTAGTATATGAGAGTTAATATATTTTTGCTCGAGCACCAGAGAAGATTTATTCCTCTATTCTTTTATTTCAGGTTAAGTTGAATTAAAGGTGTGCGAAGTTGCATTGATTGAATTGATTAACTTAATTGATTATTAAGATATGTTTTGTTAAAAGTATTTGAGTTAGATAACCAAACAGTCCTCCTCCCCCTCCACTACACGTTTCAGGTTTATTATGTTAATTTTTTTCGTTAGTTTTGTCCAGCACCAGTCAATCAGTTTTTAAAGTCAAGCTTAAAAGTCATAAAAGTTTAACAACCAGTAATTTTCAGATTCGAAACAATTATATCTGTATATAAGCGCACGCTTGTAAAAGAAGAGACCTAAAGTTAATGAATGGGTAAGATTTTTGCTTTATCTATCTTGGTTATGTCACTAACTGTAAATTATCAAACTGAGTTTTGCTTTGCTGGCCAGCTAGGTTAAATTGTTTTGTTATGCAGTATTTACAAATGCAGTCAGTATTTTGAACTAAATATCATACCTTTTTTTTCTTTTCACTACAGTAAAACAATTAAAATCTTTTAAAATGGGAACTATAAAGCTTGTTTTTTGTTTCCTATGTGGCTAATTCGAGGTTGATTTTCAATGAGAACTAGATATTTCCATTTCTTTCTGTCCAGGTTAAGCTTTCGCTTTGGAATCAACCATTAGAATGATATCTGCTCACTGAGAGAAGAACGGAACTATTTATCCATTACTTTAACATTATTAAGGAAAGATTTACAAAACTGGAATCCCTGGACAAAATGACTTTTAATTCTTGCAGATATTCCTGAAAATTATTATATACAATATTTTATGAGATAATCTATAAATGAAGCTTTTTAAATTAAAATTATTTAAACACAGAATTCATTCCGTTTTTTAGTGTTCTTTGTTTTTGCAGGTTCTGTTTATTATTTGCTATAAAACATAAACATGCCTTTTAAGTTTTGCAAATTGTTTTTTTCCTAAGATGAAATAGAAAAAAGAGAACAATCTAAAGAAATCATTTACTAGACTTAGTTGTTTAAATAACAGAATAAGCCCAAATTACTGTAATAATTTTTTATCTATTTAAAGATTCAGTTTGTATAAAACAGAATTAAAAATTGCTTTTTCTTTGTATCCCGCAATAAGTAATTTTTCTAATATTGTTTTTCCACCGTGGAAGAAAACTTGCCATTCCTGCTTTAGAAAAAATTTTTAATAAGCACTAACTTAATGATTTTGCTTGACAAATCCTAAATAAACTAAAGTGTGAGACTAACTAGTCCCTATATCTGACTTTTGAAGAAAGACATGAAAACAAAAATGTACCGAGTTTACAATTTTGTTCTTAATTTTAAATGTTTATGTATTTAATACTCGGAACTTAAAAACTACATACGTATAACTACTTTTTCAAATATCAGTATAGGATTTGAAGCTCTCCTTTAAAAGTTAAAACACGGAACATCTTTGCTGTTGCGTAAAACCAGGTCCTACTTCTGTTGGATCGATTCGGAATTTCTTCTAGAGTTGTATACTAAATTCATATGATAAGCAAGTTTTAAAGATTTGGCGAGTAAAAGCATGCTTAACACTACTGATCGTAACATATTTTGCTGTTCGTAATAAAAATTTCAGTGCAATCTTAACGCAGTATTTAATTTAATACTAGTTTCCTGGATCTTAAGATTTTCTTAGAATCCAGAAATTATATAATAAAATCTAACTGATGAATATGATATGGTAAATTTAGATAAATTGTTTCTGTAAATGCAGTTGATTTCTCTTCTAAAATTTCCAATCTAAGTTTTCTTAATCCTAATTATTGATTGTTTAATTACTTAAGCTCATAATATCTGTATCTATTTCAAGGGCTCACCTTAAATCTTTCCAGTTCCTTTCTTGGTCCAATACCAGACAGCATGAGCAATTTGGAGGTACTCCTCACTGTTCCAGCAGAAACAATGACTTCTCTCTTGGCTCGTACTTCATAAGTCGTTCCACTAAAATCGAATTCGACGCCTGTTGCTCTTCGGTTCTTAATTATAATCTGAAAAAAAAAAAAAAAAAAAAAAAAAAAAAAAAGAAAAAATTCTTTAGCCTTTAGATCCTGGAAATTACTTTTAACTTTAAAGAATTTGCAAAACTCGTTAATATCAGAGTCAGATCTTTGAAATCTATTGCATTTCATCTCAGCTTTTTGTTTTCCTCTGTGATGATGAGTGGAGAAATGAGACCAAGCATTTTTGTAAAATTTACGTACTTTATAAAGTAATCAAGTTATAGTAATTAATTAAAACATTTCCCCAACTATTTTAGTAGCATGTTAAGATAAATCCATTTAACTTAATATGCTACTAAAATAGTGGCGACAGTTTATGAGAATCATTACCTAATTAAATGAATCTTAGTATATGCAAACTCGAAAAATTGGACATAATAGAATACTGAGCTATGGTTCCTGCAACGATCGCTTTCCCTCATGTATCGCTCTCCTTTTATGGTCTAAAACTAAATTTTTTATAAATAATTTTTATTATATCGGCATCTATCATTCCCCAAATTATTATTTTATCACATTAATCATTTGTTCATCATGTTCGCAACATAGAATCTCTAGCATTGGAAACTTTAAAAAGAATTTCAAGGTTATTTACGTTCACTACTTTCATTTCTTCAAATTTAAAATCTGGCAATATAGTAATGCATAAAACTTCACGTGAGACTTTCAGATTCATAACAGTGTCACTAGAATCATTTTAGAATATTATTTCGTTGCAAGTTGCAACAATATAATTTCAGTTCGATCCTGTTATGAATGCATTTTCTTCTAAAAGTATACTTTTCTCTGACTGAAAAACTATAAAAATCTTTTATCATAATCTATTGATCACCTAAGCACCTAAGCAATTTGGCCGTCTGTAATAGAGAAGTTGTTTTCGATTGTGTTTCACAGAACTTAGCCTTTCAAGCAACTTTTCTAAGGATTCCAAAAGTCAAAACTATTTATAATTGTGCAGAACGAAAGTAATCATCCAAAATAATTAGTTAAATATTTTTACTATTATTATTGTCTAAATTAAGTAAAACTGTTTTTGTGAGTAAATTTGTGATGATATAAGAATTTTCTTTTCATTTTCGATATAAATTGCATGCAGCATTGGTACAAATTTAAGATTTTTTTAACATTTATTTTCCTGAGAATAATGAGGGTACATAGAAAAAGTATAATATCATTGGGTTCCAATATATATATTTTAGGATTTCCGCTACCCCACCCAAAAAAATCCTACCTCTATAAGTTCTCGAATTGGCAAAATTAAAAAATTACTGCACAAGGTTCAGTAAATTACTCTTAGATCTAACATATAGTATTTATAATTGATCTATTTAATGCTTTTGATTCTTTCTCGACTCCTTGATTCTGTTATAACTCCAAATAAATGAATATGAGATATTAATATATTAAATACAATGTCAATTAAAGGCTACTGGAAGTGAAACTTATTTTCAATGTAACATTAATGAGTAAAATCTTGATGCTTAAAGCCTAAACTATGATTTAAGGATTAAATAAATAAAATTGCTATCTTTCTTAGTATATCAATTTCTCTATTAATATAATTTATACAGATAAACCTAAAAGTTATTTAAATGAACAGATATGTGAGACTGTTTAATGAGAGCAAGCCGAGCGGTAAAGTCGCTGAAAACTGGTAGTTCAGCCCGAGGTTCGACTCTCTCAAACGGGCTGGCTGCATGGGCGTTTTCGTGGTTTCCCCATGTGTAATGTGTATACGAATCAGCTTCCCTTAGAAAGTCCTCCACGAAGCCATCCTCCTCTTAGGCAGATTGCCGTAATCAAATTAACAAAAAACAAGACAAAAAAAAGTAACATCAACTTTACCTTTCGGACCATAGCATTGGGAAGAATATGCAGGTTAGTTCGGTTTTCAGCCGGTACCAGATAAGCTTTTGCAGCACTGCATAATTGACCCGCTCTCAAAAAACCCTGTACGTCATAGAAACCTAATCAGAAATAAAATTACTTGTTTTAATAAAGGTAGAAAGTAAACAGATTATTTTTGCAAAATAAAGGGTGAAAGAAACCATTTTCCATTTCTTTTACAAATGTAACTGGACATGCCGCGTTATCATAAGAAAATTTCTCAGTTTATGGATTATGATATTTTGTTTTTTTCTTCAAACTCCCTTCTACTTAAATCAAGAACTAACTCTTTAATGTATTATGATGTAATTAGGAACAAAGTTTTCGCTATCTTCATTCTAAACATTCCATTTCTAGTTTAGTTATAAATTCAACATAAGAGTTGATAGGAAAATAATGCAGTTCTGCGATAAACAAATTCAAATGAAGGTACAATAATTGTTACACAAATTATTATACTATCTATTATTATCTGTAACTTACTACTCACCTTTCAGGAAAAAGTTTCAATCCCCATTTATAAAGAAGTCCTTTAGTTTTGCAGAAAAATATTCCTTTACTTTATTTTATTGTTAACCTCTTTACTGCTACGAAAATTTCTTCAAAAAGGGAGCAACGGTAGCGACCTGAACAGATGAAAACTAGAGACGGCAACATCGGACTTTTAGGATTACGAGAAAATCGGATTTTCCATTCAAACGCATTAGGCTTTTATTCAATCACTATTCCCGCATGTGATTTAACGGTATCCTCTATGGATCATATGTCTGTGGATCAGTGATTAAAGCTGATTTCATAAAGTTGTCTTTGATTCTGGTAAATCTGATTTCAAACTATGTAACAGACTTGTGATCTGGTTCAAGTTAAACTGCCCATTCCATATCTTACCATATGCCGAGTATAGGTTTCTTTGGATGAAATTCTAATTTTCGCGAGAGACTTGGCTTTTCTGTTGAGCTCAATCACTGCTTTTTTAGGGTAGTATTAGCATAAAATCGTTTACTTATTCCCAATAGCTACAGGAGAGACTAAAGTAGAAATAGAAAGACTACAGCTACAATAAGAGACTAAATTTCATTTCTTATGAAGATAGAAATGCAAACTGGTACTGTTACTGGAAGTTATCTGCTGTGAATTGCTATGGAACCCCAGAAAATTGTCTTATCCATTTCAAGTGATAATTTCTGTTCACTATATTCATGATTCATGAAAAGTCTCTGCCGTTTCTTTATTGGTGATACATTTGATTTTATCATCATTTTCAGTAATAATTTTCCATCTCCCTTAACTTCACTCATAAACACGATCTACAGGTTACAATTTTCATGATATAACTTCTTAAATAATCTTTGGCCTTGACATCCGCTCATCACACCTGAGCATACTATCTTCTAATTGCTTCTGTAGTATTAATTCATAAACCACAATACAGCGAACAAACAACTTATATACCAATATTTATTTATGAATAGTAAGTTGTAGATTTGGAGAAGTTGGGAAAGAAAGTATAGGGTATCAAATAATAACAAACGATAAGACTTTTGGTATACTTTTGTGCACTTATACTTTGACATGCAAAAGTCCTGAGTTACTTTTAGTTCAACGTCTTAATTTCATTGTAGTTCTAAATTTATAAAAGAAAAATACAGAAAATACAGAAGCTATTGAAAGCTGCAATCATTTTTCAGAGTACGCTTATTAAAACAAAATTACGATTTAAGAAGAATGAATACTGTTTTTGAATATCATATTTATCACGGAAATAAGCATTTCGCACAATACAGTCATATCAGATACAAAGCAAATATGATATTTCTTTATCTAAATTTACTCAAAACTTTATTGACTACTTACGGATATTTATTAATCTAAGAAACGCAATTAAAATATATATCGGAATTTCAGTATCTGTTAGCTTATCTGAAAAGGCATAAATGAGAACTAATGAATGTATAAGGATTTATTTATTTAAGCAGTTATTTTATATTGCTTAGCTTTTCTGTTTTACTCACTTCTTTCTTTATCCATTTTCCTACAAATTTTAGTTCACGCGTATTCAAGTGAAGTAGAAAGAAAAGGAAAGTTTTAGACTGTTGAATCGGAGCGTGTTCCGCTGCTGAAGGCCACATTACTAGTTGAATCGTTTGATAGCACTCCGTCTGCGGCGTTGCTTTATTCTCACATCAGTCTTGTCATGCCGATATTAGATTTGAGCCAACCTCTCGTATTCTTTGTATGTAGCCTTTGGCCAAGCTACGACTTAATTTAGCTTAATATAAATTTCTAACTCCCTTCTCATTTTCTCTGTCTTCACACTGAACGTAGCAATAATTCACTTAGCTTTCATATTTGAATTTCAAGTAGTTGATGTTTCCAAAAAGATTGAGACTCTATAAATGTTACCCAATTCTTTACCGTTGGAACACACATACTTTGGCAGTTGCAAGGAACATCTGATTTTTGTTTTTTAGCTTCATGTTTTGAATAGTAGCAAAAAAGAAAAGAAATTCGCTGTGAATATCATTGTGGCAGCCCTGCAGTCTATATGAAGCAATATGTTTGATGAACTATTATAAATTCTAAGTCAACTGCAGTGATTTTAAATAGATAAAAACATCTAAATATCTGAAAATAGCGAACGAAATTCTTAACGGAATATTGCATTTTATAGCAAATGTAGGGTAAGTGCAAATGATCGTGGATAAATGGCTATTTAAAGTATGACTGATCGATATTTATAGTATGACTGAAGTTAATGATAGCGATGGACATATCGAAAGTTTCTTTGGATGATTGTTTCTAATATGGAAAAAAAACATTACTCATTCTTGCATTGAACAGCTTTGAAAATATTAACTGATGATCAAAGAAAGAGCATACCATTCCAAGAGAATAGAAATTTTTCTTTTTATCCGAAAGCAATAGAAAAAAATTGATCATGGTGTGAGATCAATTGTGGATGAACATTATGCACAGTGTCAAAATTCATATGCGTACTTTTGAAACAGAATCCAGATTATATGTATGGAAATTTTGCTGCATTATGTTCAGCAAAGAAAAAGAATTCAAACTCTATAAGGTCAATAATACTTGTTCATTTGAGACAACTCGAATGGCTGATAGTATTGAATGCAAAACAATGCATTTCCAGAACTTTAATCCTCTTCTTCAAGTTTGAGACATTGTTTTAGTTTAGATTCTTGACGCAGAGGAACTCTGTAGATCTTTCGACAGCCTTGCAAGGTCAACGAAACGAATCTTAATGACTTTTAAAAGCAATCTCAATATATCAAACAAAATCAAAATCAGTTCATGACTGTACTGTGATATGCATTTGCAACAATGCACTTTTTTATCACTCCATTATGCTCTGTTGAGTTTTTGTTTAGTTATTCTGACACTGATATCTTTGGTAAGGAACTATTTTGCTTTATTTAAATGACATTTTCTGTATGCGGAATATGTACGATTTAATAAAAACGGTACAGCGCCTGTGCTTCTAATTTCGCACTTTTCCCGTGAAATAGTGTTTACGATTACCTATCTCCCTAAATGCAGCTATTTTTTAGAACTTGCTCAACACTGTAACCCCTTTAGACCTTTTTCTGCTATAAAAATGTGTTTATCAGGCTTTAGAAAATGTTATATATTTACTTTAGACATCTTTATTTAATTATAAGTTTTAATCTGAACATTTTGATTTGTAAAATTTTGGTGATTCTTACCTGTTTGTTTTGGACCATTTGGGTCGACTGCCTTGTATCCAAGCAAACGACCTGCTTCAAAAATAGGAGCTTTGACTTCTGGGAAATACCGAGGCTATGCACAGTTTGTGGCCCGCCAACACCATGGTATCCTAAAATAATCATTTTGTTCAAGATAATTATTTTTTAAAAAATATTGTGTTTTTATAATATTCATTTTTTTATTTTAATGATATTACTTCCACATGGTGCATAGTAGGTTTCTTTGTTTATAGAAAAGTTTAAAAAATTACGAAAAGCTACAACGGTTTGATAAAATTTAGATTCTAAGTTTGCCTCTGAAGAGAAATACATTACGCAGTAGATGTACAGCATTACATGTTAACGATGTATGCATATTGAAGTATATATTTATTTAAAGCTGCCTGAAAATGAGAACAACTGTTTGTGAAAAGTAAAGCCTGAATAACTGGATATTTATATATTTAATTCTAGTACATATTTAGATCTTATATTTTCCCAATGCATATATACGAAGTATATATAGTGGGCATTTTATTTCTAGTACTGCACTGTTCAAAATACTGTAAGGAATTAAAATTTTCTTAATATTAATGCTGTTGTAGTTTGGTGAATTCCGTCTGTTATAAATAGATTTTATTTACGAATAGATTTAGAGAAAATATCCATCTTTAAAGCCATCATTTACGTTTACTGAAAAGAATTGTCTTGGTATCAAATGCTTATAAATTATCAGGATATCAGGTGCTTAGTCTATAGTCTACTTCCTTCCACTTTCAAAAGAGAATTTATCAATGTTGGTGACAGGAAGAGTTCATCAGATACAAGGCTAGATGAAGTGGCATACGCTTAGCGTAGACTATCGATAGGAAAACTTTTATTACGATTAAAAGAATTCCGGTGCAAGTCAACCCAATTACGAAAATTCAGCTTACCTGTTAAAACTTTCCTAAATCACGATAGCTTAAAGCAAAGAAACAGTTATCTTAAATTTCTGTGGGAAAAGCATCTTTAATTTATAAAGTATTTCTCCCGCCTTCCTAGCATGCCATCGTGGTGTGATGGTCTGCATTTTGGTAGCGTATTCCAGAGGTCCGTGGTTCGATTCCCGGCGAAGGCGATACTCCTTTTTCATCTCTCCTGCTTCCAAAAAAAAAAAAAAAAAGAAAAAGAAAAAAACCCTAATGTCTCTACCGTGGCGCCCGAACTAAAAGGGTGGTGAATGATGATTCTCCACACCATGGATTTGGCGATTGGGTACCCTAAAACCCCAGTCGTCCTTTAGAAGGAAGAGTATATAAGGTATTTCTCCCGCCTTCCTAGCATGCCTTCATGGTGTGGTGGTCTGCATGCTGGGCGCGTATTCAGAGGTCTGTGGTTCGAGTCCCGGCGAAGGCGATGCTCATTTTTCTTCTCTTCTGCTTCCAAAAAAATACCTAATGTCTCTACAAAGTGTTCAAATAAATTTATCCTTACCAGAGTTCTTAAATTTCAAAATAGTACTAAAAGTAATGATTCGATAAATATAAAATCGATATAAATAAAAATAGCACATGTATATTACTAGATTTATCTTCCAAATTTGAAAAGAGGGCGAAGAATTTGAAAGATTAAAATGATTGTGGCGCGAAGATGGTGAGTTGACTAATAAGAGATTCAAAAGCCAACGGTGTGGAAGAATGAAGATGAAAACCTTCAAATCAGTATATTTGAATTCAATAAGTAAGCTTAAGTTTCTATGCATGGTTGAACTGGTTTCGAAATCGGAGATTTTACGGTTCCTGTAGTTTACGAAATATGATTTGAAGTAAGAGGGTATGTTCAACTAATGAAACTGACTTATTTTTTAGTTATATAATATTTAGTTATATAATGTTGCTGGCAATTACAATGTTTTAATCCCAGCCTTAAATTTGTATGGTTTTAAGTTTATTAACTCATTATCTTATTATTTTCATTTTTACTACCATACTTTCGTTGGTTCCAAATGGAATGCAAATTAAGTAACGTATGTAAGAAATGAGTTTTTGAGGTGAAGGGAAAGTTTTGGGAAGCGATCGCTGACCTTCATACTATTTACGACCAGCTCCTAGATTTCCTACATTCAGCTTTATTACTATGGCAGTGATAAAGTGGGTTTTAGAAGGCCTAAGTCAAAGCTTACAGAAGGAATGAATTGCACAGTTTAACTATTTAAATTTGATGTTTGTGTTCTGTGAAGCAAGCAGAGGAGACGTATTTTGTAATACACTAGCTATATAATTTTGTTTAGTTGAAGTTATAATAAAATGATTTATTTTAAACCTTCTTTTGAGTTCGTAGTTATTAATCTGAAAGTTTCAGACAAGGCAATAAGTCACCCAATTTATTACCCCGTGTGAATAATTTAAAAGTAGCTTAAACTAATCTGGAAGAAGCCAAAATTTAACTTAAATTAAAATGCTCTGGTTTTATTCAAATTTACATGTTTTAAACATTTATGCATCAATTTCTCAAATAATTGCTAAACTGAACTTTCACTTTTGATCTTTTTTTTTTTTTTTTTTTTTTTCATAAAAGGAAAAATACTTTTCGGATTTCCTTTCTTAACTGAAAAAGTTACTAATTTAGATCTTTCTTAAAAGCGAAAAAGATTAAAAAGACTCTTCATAAAGCCAGAGAATACCTGTTAGCTACCGACTTCGCTTGATCATTTATTGTGCCTCAGAGTATTTGTACGCACAATATGTGGCATATCGTTATGTGCCAAATAAAGTTTCCTTTCAAGCCTATCATCATTGTAAATATTTTAAAAAGTGTTTTATCGTGTTATTCTTTGTATTTCCATCTTTGGTATCCTTTGCATCTTTGTATTGCCATAAAATTAACAAATACTTGTGGGTGAGATTTTCAAAGAAATAAAATATCAGCTTTATAAACTGTTCCCCCTCGATTATTATTTTCATTGGATTTAATAATGGTAATAAGCATAACAAAGTCAATCAGAATAAATTTTTAAAAATGTTATAAATTAATAATTCACTATAATATTAACAAAAGAAAATTTACACAAGATTTTTCAAATTACGTTATTTCCTTTGTCATAGACATTACATGATGAGAACAATACACCACATTATGTTTTACACGCTGATGTAGAATTGTAAAAGCATGTAAATTTTCATTTTGTCAAAAATTTCAAAATTCTAAAATAATTCTATCACGATCTATTCTAAAATAACATGTCTAAAATAATTCTATCGCGATCAAATGTGAGTAATTTAACTAAATACTTAATTTCATAAGTAAATAATTAAAGTTGCATTATTTAGCTTCTTAAGTTTATACTTCTTTTATTTCTGGACTTATATATCCTGTTGTAGTTCTGCCTACCGTTTTCTTAAACTTAAAAATCATAAACAAAATGAAAAAGAATTATACATTATACATGGAACATCTATAGTCTCTATTATCACTAAATGCTTTTAAAATTCTTTGCAGAATTTTAATATCCCATTGGATGAATTATTACACATTATGATAATTCACAAAGAGGTTTTTGTGACTTTGAAAGAAAAAGAAATTCTGTATTCGATTTATTAATTTTAAAAATCTCGGTTCAAGTTTTCAGCCTTGCCATCTTTTAAGATATGGGTAAAATAAACAAATTTGAATAGGTAAACTACCTTCTTGGATCGCTATTTCATTTCGACAGCAAACAACGGAAGATGTTCAAGAACAGTTCCTTTAATTATTTTTATTTTTTTTTCTAAGAAAGATTTATGTAAATTTGTAAAGTTGAAAAGAACTCACCATTGGCCACATACTCTGGATCTCGGTTGTCTTCTAACTTCTTGAAGTACGGAAGAACTTCCTCATAACTCCAGCCAACAGCTCCAAGTTTCGCCCAGTCATCATAATTCTTTGGGTTTCCTCGGGAGTACAATACATCAGTCAAAACTGTGGATCCACCTACAGTTTTGCCACTCGGCCACAAAATCTCCTGTTTCGAGGAAAATAAGGTTATTTGAATGTTCCATGTAACCATTCCCATTAACTTCGTTGACGTATGTAGAGCGTTTTAACTGTCATATTTCCGACTTCGTATGATAGTACCTTTTGTGTTCACAAATTATTCGATATTTTGTGCGTAAGGGAAGAACACCAATTAAAATTTTAATTTAATTCAAAAATAAAACTCGTGTTCTTAGATTGATTTTATTTTGGAGATTGAATTGCGCATTAATTTAAATGGTATTTACTCGTCCGTTCCATTTTGTGTGTTGCCATTCGGCAGAGATTAACATCTAAAGCACAGAAAAAGTAAATCTAGAAAACAAGCATATTGAAAAGCGTTCATATAAAATTTATTTGAAAAACCAATAGTGAGTGTTTATTGATACGATTAAGCTATCTTTCTTCCCCTTAAAATTTGTTGCTAACTTGCATGTCAGTAAAAGATCGCTTGCACTTTTATTTCTTTTCTTATTTACATTGCATCAGTACCCTTAACTCTTTTTATATGTCCTACCCAACATTTTATTTTGGGGCCTCCTAACAGTCGAAAGGTAATAAACGTCCTGTAAAAATTAATATAATTGATTTTTATGTTACTATTAATGAAACTTTGTTTTATCTTCAAAATATATCTTCTTGAGCTTGAGAAGCTATTCAATAATACTTTCTTGTATTCTATAAATTTGGAAACTTTTTTTTTTTTTGCTAGAGTGGTCTTCCAGATCTTTCTTCTTAGTATGTAGAAATATATCAAGTATTCTTCTATTCCTTTTAAAGGAAAATAATAACAAATGTTCCAAAGAAAATGTCTATATTTTAGAAGTTCTATTTATATATTAAATATGCGCGTCGCGACTGATCTAAAAGTATGAAAGAAGATTCCAAGCAATTATAAAATTTGAGCGAACGAGTAAAAGGAAGCTGCGTTTGTTCCTAAATAATCCTTAAGCAGGAGGGGCTCTGTGAGGGCCTGGCCTAGTTTAGTATTAATGTTTAATTCAAGCTTTCACTAATAATAAAGGACACACTACCATATCGACAGCAATGATCATAATCAGAATAGCATAAAAGTTAGTGCTGAAATAATTTCATTTGTTGCCGATTGTATTGACTAGCTCTGTAAATGTAACTATTATAAATCAGTAAATAGTTTTTTAATACACTCCCAGCTTTTAATTTTAAAAACTACTTTATTTGTTCCAACAAATAGTGCACAGGCTGGAAAACGAAACTGTCTTTAAAATTACATGCTTATATCATCACTGCTGAATCTTATCCTACATAATTATACATCTAACATAGTAACGAAACTCATATATGCAAGTTTATTTCCTCAAAGAAAATCCCTATAACGATCTTTCTAGCATTTCCCTTTCTTTGGATTAAATATGTGTGTCGTTTAATGCTTCAGAGATAATATGGTGCTCTAACTTCCCAAGTAAACAATCTGAAGGGAAAATTCTTATTTACCGGAAACTCGTCAAGAGTAGCGGTGTCAAATGCAGTAAGTAAAAGATACAAAGTAACCCGCTTAAAGAAAGTTGACATAGAATGTTTGCTTGGAAAAAAATGATGTTATCAAAATATTATCGCCTGAGGGTTCGAAATTATAACGTTGAGAAGTCATTACGCTTTGATGCGTATCATTTACTCGAGCTTTGATGGCCATTTTCAATGAAACATTGCAATACGAACACGTAGTTTGGTATTGTGCCTAATTAGACACTCTGCTTTTTTAAAAACAGTTAAATTATTATTTGCAACTAACAGGATACTTGGAATTCTAAGATTTTTGATTTCAGATTTCTTTAATTAACCCATTACCATGCGATTTAAATTTATGACTGCAGTTTTTCTCAAATCGCTATAAAAGCAGCATAAAAGGTTTTAATGACTTCTATTATTCAAGTGATGTTTTGCAATACTCATTATGGATTAGTTTTACAAGCAGTAATTACAGGTATCTAAAATATCGCTGCAAGATACAGAAGATATAAATAATATTCAAAATGTGAACAATATATTTTAGTCCACCAGTAAACAGAATAGAAGCTCAAAAATATTTAAGACGAGAAAAGGGTAGAAACATAGAATTATTTTAAACATGCTTTAAGACTAACGATGTAAATTTAGAATTAACGAACTTTCTGCTACCATTTATACTGTCGGAAGCGATATGAACTAATTTACAAGACATAAAATCTGCGTTTCAGTTCAGACAAATTAAAATCTTCTCTAAACTTCTCTCGATAAAAATTCAAAATTATTCACAGCAAAATGCCCAAGCTCTTAGATAGTACATTTCTTTTAGCTTAATTAAGTTATTTTGTTGTAAAAGATATAATTTGCACTTAAAAGAAGATGATATCGCACATAAAATTTCCGTGATACGGCATCACAACATAATGAAATGCATTTTAAAGTTCCTAAGCAAAATTCTAGAAAATAGTTATGTAATTTCACAACAGCAACCTGTGACTATTGATTGTTCACTTTCTTCAATGTAGCTCATACATCGAGGTATTTTAAAAAGAAGTGTTTACCTTTGGAGGCACAAAGATATGCATTTCCTTAATAATTCGGTAAAATCGTTTGTACACTAGATGGATCTTCGAAATGATCTTTGTAGCTACGTTATATTGCAAAAATATCTCGGCTGCCTCTTTGAATTCCTGATCGCTTGATCAGTCCATCATATAAGATCATATCAACATCATATAAGATCTTGATGTTCCCAGGCGCATTTTAACATGTCACAGTTCAGAACGTATATGAAAAGAATTCCAATGCATTAATAAAATCAATAATAGTTTATGAGCTCACCAATAATGGTTTCGAAATGTGAATAAAGAATGTAATCTCTTTTTTTTTGCTGTGGATACATTGCTATAGTTTTAATTTCTCGTTGGTGATAAGTTATGACCTGTTGAAGATAGAAGCAGTGAAATTTCACTCATTATTAGAAGAATGAAAAGTATTTGTAAGATCGAGAACTTTATGACAGTTCAAAGGCTTATAGGGATTATTAAGCTTTTTAGAACATGGGAAAAAATCATCAACTGCGATGTTATCGAGATTCAAACTGCTGATCTTCCAATAGTTAATATACTATGCTAATCACTTACACCTAGAAAAAATGATTGAGTTCCCCATATCCTTAAGATCTTTCCATCATCCTCAGCTGCAAAATTCATTTGCGCTTTGGCAGCTGAGGATGATGGTTCAGTAAAACCATTGAAACTAGTCCCATGAAAATTTGCAAATATAACGCTGATTTTTGTTGCTTGAATTCTAAATTAATACTTGTTAGACGTGTTTTTTATCTTAATTAGTTAAGAAATTAGTCAGGAAAGATATAATTTTAGGGCACTTATTGAAGTAATGCATAACAATACATATATATTTTTTTGCAATTGTTGGAGTAATGATTTCTCCCACTGAGTTTTGTAACAGCATGACATTACAACTAGACTATGACAAATCCAATAAAATTGTAGGTAAATTTTAAGACCATCAAAAATGAGTCTACGTACTTTATCAGGCATCACGGTCATCACGATGAGACTGGCATTACATTGCAAAGTCTGCTTCACCGAGATCAGTGAGAATCAATTCTGCGCTTTATAATCTCCATGAAAGATGCTTTGATTAAGATATCCAAAATTCTACCTCTCGATAATACTAATTGCAACTTGAAGCTTATTCTATCACATGTTTTCCATTGTAGACAGAGAACCACTTATTGTAATGACAAAGAATCTCGAAAAGAAAAACCTATCCTTCTTATAGAAAGCAAAGTTGCAACCAATTATGCCACAATAAAAAAAATTTTTTTTTTCATTTTGAGGTTTTTTTAAAAAAGTCTTTAAACAATATTGCCACTAAAATATTTTATTTACGATATACATAACTGACATTCTCAGGCACATTTAGAAGGCTTCTTTATCGTATCAGTTATTAGATGATAAACAAAATGAGTCTGACCGATTTTTTAATTACTACTTGAGTCTGACCATTTCGGACCAATTTTTTAATTACTACACGAATTGCAATAATGTATTACATTAATCTCTTTCCGAAATAAATGAATTTTATGTTAATAAACTGCATTATTTTTAATGCTCCTGAGTTACGTTCGAAAAACTTTTAAAATTATTAAAAACATTAAAATCCCAGGGAAATGGAATGCCGAGTTCTCGGGAATTGAAATGTTAGTTTCGATATATGACTCTGTAGGGTCGAATGGCATATGACAAAGGAGCCATTGCTGTATTCATTGAAAGATTCTTCGTGAGTTTTAGTTCGCAGTAAAAGTTTTAAAACTTTTAACGGTAGATTGAATCCCCCATTTAGTAAAATCTAGCATATGATATGGTATATTCTTTTATTCTGGAAAAATATATCATTGCTTTTGTAGATTATAATTTCCTCAGTTCTCATAATCTCATTAAGCAATTAAACAGATATTTACAATATTTGCTTTATTTATATAGTTAATTTTATTTCATAAAAGACAGACATACTTTATTCTTTCTAGGATTAAGTATTTGCTTGCATTGGTTGCATTATTTATATAATTAATTTTATTTCGTAAGAAATAGACATACCCTGTTATTGAGTCCATTTCCAGTATTTCGTTGAGGAACTGTACGATAATTCCTATCAATATCCGTAAACCAAAAGGCCCGTTCAGTGGCGGGTATCTCAGTCAGCAAAGGCGGACTTTTACCGGCTTCAAGCAGAAGAACACTGACGCATGGAATTTCCGACAAACGATTTGCCAATACAGACCCTGCAGCACCTGCTCCAACTAATATGAAGGAAAAGAAATACTAGTCTGAAATGTATATATATTTAAGCGGAATACTGTGATTGTACACGAAATTCCAGAGAAGAACTGGAATATATATCTATGATTATCGAATATGTATCTATGATTTAAAAATACAGTACAGTGTAAGATTAAGATTTATTTTATAGATAGTAAGTACAAAGAACAGAATAAAAGTACACTCAAACATTCAAATGATTTATACTTCGTACAAGTCTAAACCTTTTGTAATCACAAGATCTTTGCCTTCTACCATGGACCTTTAATGAAATGTAATAAATGAAATAAAAGTACAAAGAAAACTTAGCATTTGGAAAATTAATAAATTTCCTATGTTGTTAAGGTTACCTATGCGAAACTTAAATTACTCTACAGAAAACTTTTTAAACGACCAGGTTTTATCCTGTCTCTCTCTATTCTAAAATACAACTAAATTTATGTGAAAATTTTCTCATGTCAAGTGTTTAGGCAGACTAGTCTAAGAATTACATAAATAATTATGTTTTTAATTTAAGAACTACGGCTGATAACGCTATGATTTGCCGTAAACGGATTATTAAGTAATTCTAATCAGTATATTTACATTTTTAAGCTATGTAAATAGAGCATGGATGTTTTATTACTTAGTTAATATGTTATTCTTATCTATTAAGCTATGGTAGTGCTGAAGTTACGATATAGTAGAGGGAAGTCAAGATCGTAATTATGCACTATAAGATAGAGGAATTGCAGATGTATAAATATTCGCATACAATTTCCAGAACAATGTATTTTAAATATCAGATTCATACATTGCATCGAATTTTCTTTCTTTTATATGATAAGATTGTGATAGTGGCTTCGTCTGGCTTATTTACTGTTTTAAAGCAGTACTACATTTTTAAAACAGATAAAGATAAATTAACAAAATATAGGCATTGATTTAAGCGTAAAAAAAGTAATTTAACTCGCAATAAATATAAATTTTAATGGGGGAAATGACTTGTCGTAGTTAGAGATTATAAGGAAACCCTCTTAATTAGTAAACGATCAACTGCTTATGGTATTTTCTAACCTTCTTTCCTAATCCCTTCTTGATGTAATTGGAAACATATTCGACACTTATTTTAGATGTTCGGAGTATCAGCTTCATAAAATCAAGCAGCGATATATTTTAGGTGCTTTTAAATTATGCTCTTGCCATGCATTTTGGAGTTGATATTGTAATAATATGTGCGTGTGTATTTAATCATTCTTGTTTACACACATACAACAACACACATTGTCCCCAGGTAAAGTTATCATTGGCTCTTGATATGTATTTTTAAATCTATTAGAAGACAATATTTAAAAGGAAGCAAATTCATATGTAGTAGCATTTATCTCTCGTACGCAATAGACAGCATCACTGAAATTAGTTTAAAAATAAATCCTTAAGCTTTGTAGATGCGTTGTATGTGTATCATTAACAACAAATTAAAAACATTTATGTCTATTTTTCCCCCAGGTTAATTTTAGAGGTTATAAAGGTTAAAAAGTTTTCATCATATTGTTTCCTATATTATTAAAAGTATTTGAAAGTTTTAAGTCTGATTCAATTTATACAATTTGCAATGAATATCCATTGGCATAGGGGGCTTTAAATTGTTCAGATATTTCTATAAAGATTAACCTTTGCATAATATAAAAGAAAATAATTGAATCTTTTTAGAATGGAGAGTTATCTCGTAATAAAGAGAACAGAATGAAAGAAATAAATGGCGCTGTTATATAAATACAAACAGCCTACATCACAATACGTGCAGCATACCTATAACATAATCGTATTCCGAGTTGATGCTTGTCGCCGTTTTTGGTGTGTGTCGTTGTTTCATAAGAGACAAAAGCAGCATCGGTAGGAGAGTAGAATTGACGAATGGCGTTGGATAGGCTCTCTCCGCCGCAAGATCCATTTCAGGCTGTAAATAAATAAATTAATAAAATTGCATTTTAAGCAAATAATTGTTGGCATCAAAACAGTGAATTAATGATGTTTTAGGAAAATATCATTGTTTAATGTTACTGTTTTCTTTGTTACACACTTGATTGATAATAATTCCTTAGTAATGAATTTCAGTATGACATAGTATCTTACTTTTTGATCGAAGTAAAATTGTTTTCAATTAACTAAAAAGATGAATATCGCCATCCGAAAACATCAACTTCTTTATATGTTTCGAAATTAAACATAATATTACAAAATAGCGAAATTCTTAAAAATATATGAGAAATAAATGCATGCATTCAAATATAAATGATATTATTAAACTATATTTTTTAAATTGTGAAAGAAAACTTTTGCGTAATACTAATTCAAATAAGATTATGTAAATGGTCAGTTAAAGTCCGAAAATTTAAAAAGTAAATTTAAAATTATAAGATAATATCTGTATATGTAGGAAATAATAAGGTTTAAAATGAGAATGAAGTTAATAATAGCGCATAAATGAAGTAAAATATTGTAATAGTAATGAGAAGACTATTACGGAATGCGAAACTATAGAACACATAGATTAAAATGGAACTATAAAATATAGACTAAGTAAGGAGTTAATGAGTAATGATCAATAGCCGTTAAGTTAAATGCTTAATTTTAAAATTCCGGTATGTTTAGGAAAAATTATGAAAGACATGAAAAACCATACAAAATTAAATGAAATAGTAAAATAAGTCAAATCACTTTATTTTTTACCCCGATATTTTCGACGACGATGTTTTTAAACTGCGAAGTTTTTGAACCGCTTTATTTTCGACCACGATATTTTGTACCACGATGTTTTAGAACTGCGATATTTTCTCTTTGCGATGTTTTCTTCCACGATGTTTTCTAGAACAACGTTTACGCCTTGCGTTGTTTTCTCCACGACGTTTTCGCTCACGATGTTTTTGCAACGACATTTTCGGCTATAATTAAAGATTTATCATAATTCTTATGAAATCTCGCAAGGTTAGTTTTCATGTAAAAGGCATAAAACCTAAGGTATGTATATATCTATTATGACTATATAACGTGTAGTTGAAACTTTCAACTTATCAAAACCGAATTCATCTTTTCTCTGTAATATTTTGTTCAAGAAAGCGTCGGAGTTGCCAATGGAGAGCGAAGGTTTATGCGGCAATACAGCAGCGGTTGGACAGGTCTAAACTCTTACACCCAACTGTGCACAAACTCTTCTAACTTTAACGTAAAACTGCTTACCACTCAAATCTACATAAATTTTGGAATTAGTAAACTTCGTGGCAAAGTGAGACAAACAGGAAAGATATAATTAAATAACTTTTAATTAGTAAATTTTAAATATAAAAGCCAAAAACTGTAAAACGTTTACAATGATTATGGATTATTTTTTTTTGGTTTTTTTTTGTTTTTTTTTTGTTTTTTTTTTTTTTTTTTTTTTTTTTTTTTTTCCTTTTCTCTTTTTTTCTTTTTTTTATTTTAAATAATATTTATCAAAATATACAATTATATTAATGTAGTAATTATATAATAAAGTACATTTCAACATTTTTGATAAAGTATTTGTAACGAAAGGATCAAGTATCCTTTGATGTACGGTATTCGATTCCTCTTTGAAAGGCTGAAATTTTCAATTCATTGAAATATATTTATATAGTCTTGACTGGAAATATAATAACCGTTAAGGAAGAGGTACACCAATTATTCAGTTAAAATTTCTTTAAAATGTCAACAAAAAGGAGTGAAAAAATTGAGATCTTTGAACGAAAACAGTTTCGGCTATGGATTGTAATATTTGAGATACTGATAAATATATGAGCAGCGATAACTATTATGCTGATATCGTCATCTGACTAAGAGTATCCAACATTTCGCAAAAATTATTAACGTACTAAGACATGGAAATAAACCATTTAAGGAGTTCTTTAAATTAAAATAATCAAATCAATCGTTAAATCATTTTGTAATCGGTGAGGTATTATAGATAATGCGAGTAAGTCTAAGCAGTCACAACTAAGTTTCATTAGAATTAAGTTTACAATTAGAATTCATTAGAATTACATTTACAGTTAGAATTCATTAGAATTAAATTTACAATCAATCAATGAAAAAATATTTAAACATAATTTAGATTTTCATAATGTATTTGTTTAGAGCTTAGCTATTACTTAGTTATTAAATAAAAATTAGTTACTAAATATAATAATTATTATTATATAAATCTAGGTGATTAATTAATAGCTAAGCAATTTTATTAGTTTTCTAATAAAGTTACAAATAACTAACTGATTTGTATAATTTATTAATGGAAAATCGACGACTCAATAAATTTTGTAGGAACAAGACGTATTATTAAAATCAGAAAAAGAAAATCTTACATAAAAGTGATTTAGATACGCATTTTGGAAAAAATGAATAAACAGCAGGGCATATAAATAAAAAATGCACGGATCGGTTTCGCTTAGAAGATTAATAAAAGAAGAGAGTATAATGAATGTACACAATTATTTGTGAATAGTTTTAAAATTCTTAAAACTTGAGGTAAATAAAATTTTATAATATTAATTTAGCGATACGTAATTAAGCATTGCATTATTTTAATCTCATAATAACGAAAAAAGCAAGAACAATTTTATTGAAAAATAACGTAATGTAACATAATAACATTTCTGAAGATTACACGAAACGAACATCAGAAATTATCTACTTACTATAGTGGCATTCATTTTTTTCAATTACGCTTGAATAAGCAAAATCTCAGTTTTTATCCCTTCGGCTGACATTATTCCTCCTGAAACACTTAATCTCATTGGTCATACTTAACTCCTTCCACAATCATTTGCCTAATACCTTTGTCAATATACGAAAGATCGATGAAGGAAGAAATAATAAAACTAAAGTCCATTATACAGTATCATATGACTACCAAAAACGGTATTTTTCATCGAAATCGGGGGAAGTGGAATCATATTTTAATTGCTTCTAAACGTGCTTACTTTATAACGGAAGAAGTAAAATTTCGGGAAGAATGTGTGTCACGTGCTTGGAGTTATCTATTTTATCAATCTTCAGTATTTCAAGCATTAATTAAGGGTTATAGCAAAAAATTATAAAATCTGAATACCTGCATTTAATTTAAGAATCTACTATTTAAACGACATTTAGAAATAATGAGAAAAATAACTATAATGCACTTGATAGGAAAATTATAGAAAGCACTACAAAAATGTATTTATGTTAATTTTATTGCGTCGAAAGATGGATGGTAGCTTAAGATCAAAATTATCACATAATCCAATGGGATGCCCCTTCGCTACACGGAGATATGCAAATTTTTGTGCCCTTTGTTCGACATGTATACAAAGAAATGGTACATCAAGTTCTAATTTCAAGGCTTGTATAAGTAGAAAGATAAAATTTTGCTGTGTGAAAGATAGAACATGTTATTGAGAAGGCATTTAACGGATTGTAAAATATTGCATGGGACTGGAAGAATGAAAGCCAGACAAAAACTGATAGAGGTATTTAAAGACGTTATCAGTAGCCAAAAGCATCACGTGAAAATCTGAAAACAAGTTAAAGACACTGGTGATGTTTGCAAACAATCAGATCAAGGTCGAACAGACTCACAAGATCGCTATCTGCTACGATTCCTAAAAGAAATAGACATTTAGCCTCATCCCAAATTATAAGGGATTCGTTGCAGCTACAAGAATTCGACTACCCAAAAATGCTTTGAGTGACAAGTTGTATAAAAGAGGGCTGTATGGCACGGGAGTTTGTGATTTGTGTCTGACTAATTCGGACTGCGAAATGCGCCTGCTTGCAGTAAAGCAGATATTATCAAATCTTTTTTGATGAGTCTTGTTTTTGTTCCTAGAGTGATTCCAGCCATTATACAATTTGTGTGGAGCAAAACACGCGCAATAAGCCTGAAAATATCCAGGACAGCCATCTGTGCAAAAGAGGGAAATCATTGCATAGGCGGGATCATTTTTGATGGCCACATTAGCCATTTCAGTATTTGTAGTTATATTTTACTAATACAACTGCAAATGATGAGATAGACTGATATGAGATTCAAGATCCTCATATCAAGTTGTTTAAATATTGCCATCTGCAATAATTTTCTGCTAGTGGACGGTAATGCTAATCTTTATCACGCTGCAATTCCTGATTATCTTGAGGACGGAAGGGATTCAAAGGTTGGTGTGGCCGAAATAATCTTCGATTTTAAATCCATTAAAACATGTATGGAATGCACTAGGCAGCCTACTTGCATCACTGCAACAACACCTAGCTCGTTTCAGGAACTCTAAAGCACTATTTATCGTGACATTTACTTCAGAAACTCCTGGAACACAGCATGGCAAACCACTATAAAATTTGCATTTCAGTCAGATGTGACCACATGATTTATTAATTTTGTCTGCATATCTCTAAAACGTTGTAACGCCAACCTTTCCCTACTCAACTTTATATCACATTCCTTATGTTCTTTGAATTTTGAAGATATTTTGAAGAATATTAGAATTTTGAAGACGTGACAAAATAAACTCCTTATGAAAATTCCATGTTTCCAAGCCGAAAACTCATTCACATATTACACGAGTTTATACCTGTTATATGTCGTTTTGAGCTATTCAAATTATATGAGTTTATACTTTTTCGCCTTTTATAAAGGTGGAATACTGTTATCTCATATAAATCCAAAACGATGTTCTCAAATAACTAAACATTTTGTTTCCACGGTGATTTCTCACTTTATGCAAGCAAACAATTAACTGAGCATTATTGTACAATAAACGTTGATCTTTTAGAATCTCACCATTTTTTAGGAAGTGAAGGAAATAACACTAAATTTGTTGCTATTACTATTGGTGTGCACAGCCTGTCTTAAAATAGCATACTTAAGTGTCTTTACGATAATTACACAAGATTTTTGGAGAGCCTTTTTTTTTA